AACACATACTTTTTTTTTCTTTCTAACATTTTTTTTCTGTTCATTTTTCTTTTGTTCTGATGAACCCATAAATTTGTTAAAAAAAATTAATCTTTTCTACCAGCACTGATCCGTTTCCCACTTGCAGGTCTGGTAGTACAACCGGGAAGACCCATCAGGGGCCACCAAAGAAGTGAAGGATCCATTATCGCCACGCGCCGCCATCAACGACAGATCGTACACGACTCTCACCGACGAATCCGACAGCATCTACTATGCGTCGTGGATCTCGATGAAGTCTCGTTCATCAGATTTCGATCGCCGGAGCACATAATCAGGGTGATACACCTTCGCCAGGTTCTGGTACGCTGAGTTTTTCTCCATCGTCAGTTTCAAAGGGAGACTATCTTCGTCAGTTTCATCAACCAACCATTTCCCTACTCCTCTAATTTCTTTTTCACCTGCAAATCTTTGTCGAGCCCTCCACCAAGTGAAATCAAATAAGAGTAACAGTAGGGTTACAATAACTCGCTGGATTGAAGAGTACTGGTGATGGTGGCCTCCTACCAAATAAAACAAGTGTGATGGTGGAGTGAAGCGACGCGATGGTGATCAAACCGAGCGAAAACAGTGATAAAGAGAGGAGCGGTGGTGAACAGAACAGGAACGATTTAGAGTTCGTCATTTTGGGGTTTTTAAGGTGTTGGTTCACAAAGAGATGGCTGATGAGGTTAATGGAGGATCAGATGCTCTGTGGGTAAGGAGGAATGAAGCTTCTAGGGTTTTTTTGAATGCTGCTTCCATAATTTTGCTATATTTTTTTTAATTTACTAAATTCCATGTCATCATTTAACTATTTCCACGTAATAAAATATCCAGCTCAACATATTCACTGTCATCACATTTTAATATCGTTTGTGAAAACTTAACGGACAAGACTTAATTGACTTAATTTTTCAAATATTTGGACCTTGAGACATTTTGCAAATATATAGACTCCACTGAGACAGTTAAAAAAACAAGGACTCACTTGAGATTCCCCAACAAATATAAGGACGGCCCAAGAGTTTAAACCTTTATATTATATACATGAGTCATTTCTTATCCATTGATTTTTGACAATATAATATCTCAATAATATTTTATGTCATAATTTATATATATATATATATATATATATATATATATATATTTATTTATTTATTTTTATTTTAAGTGAGTTTCCCATAAGTATTTTGTTATAGTCTAACTTTCTCAAAAATTTTTTATAATTTTCTAAGAAATTATAATTTGACATTTTAAAAAACTCACTTTAATAATCTTATTTTTATTATATACATATATTCATACTTTAAATTAAATAATTAAAAAATTAAAATTTTTTGATATAATTAATTGTTACGTAATTAATTTTACAATATATTAAACTTTCTTTGTTTAACTTAGACTAGACAAATGTTTGATGATGGGAAAATTCTTAATTTTCAAAACTTAATAGTATTCTTTTGTTAGTCATTTACGTCCTTATTTCTTATTAAAATGTTAATAGGCTTTCTTTATAAGTTTTTCCTAAATTATTGGGAGAAGTTAACAAGTTTGATCTCCTAACCAGTTTGATAACTTGAATTATTGATTTAAATTAAAAAATATTTAAAATTTATTAAACATGTATGAGAATATTTTCTTATTTATATAGAAAGATGTCCCTAAAAATCAATTTTTGTGTGGATAAATTATGTTTTATCTTAAGTTATTATTGTTGGGCCAAAAGTAATAACCAAAGATATGTGATTAGAGATATTGATAAAGAGTAACTGATAGAATCTCCAAGTAAGTTTGTTTTTGTTTGACCTATGAAAACTTATAAATGCAATGATAGAGCAAAAGTCAGGTATGTTCTACTTACATTCTGTTCACTTTCCACTATGTCCAAATAGTGATAACAATTCACTGAATATTTTATTGTGAGTAAAAGCTCTTCAAACACACGCCTAACTTATATAATATATAACTATAAATATCGGTGCAATTCACAATAGTGGGTAGCCCTTTCTCAATTCAATAACAATGTGAATCATATTTTCATTGAGGCAACTTCACAAACAATTTAGATCTTTCTCAACTACAGAAAAATCTTCCCTCAACAGGAGCTTCATGAGGGGCAGCCTTCTGATTACATATATGAGCATTTTAACAACGAAGCTTTTATTGTTCTCTAATTTTTTGTTTTCTATTCTTTATATTGAGCTACAGTGGAAGAATCTGCCCACAAGGAGCTATGCCAGAAAACACTGCGAGAAACCTAAACCAGAAGACAAAACGCTCATCGCTTCAGCATGGGGAAGACCCAACTCAGAGAGGAAAAAATCAGGAAACCCAACCTACATCATCAATGTCACGCAGTCATGGCAGCCATTGATGCCATCACTGGCACCCTCTCAACAGCAAGGTTGTGAGCCAGTAATCCACGTTTCTTGCACCCCTTGCTGTCGACGCCATTCTCTCCATCGTTGGTGCCGTCAAGCCAAACATGGCACAATTCTTATTCACGAAGGATGTTCTCAAGGGAAAAGAGAGAACCCCTAAATTCAGGAAACCCTAAATGGCAATTGCGGCGTGAATCAAAACCTACAGAGAAGAGAAAGAGACCTCCGTCGTAAACTGACAAAAAACCCAAAGAATCACCTCCAAATCAAAAACCAAAACTCCCTAATCGCAAAAGCAAAACAAGATCAAAAACCCCAAATATGATCAAGAACACAATAACAAAATTCTTCACCGAGAAATTCCCCAAACCACCAGTTACAAAACTGAATCACAAGAATAGGAAAACTCCAAATGCAACATCATCAAAGTCGTCCTCTTCATGGTTCGACCCGTGCGAAACGCAAGAAACAGGGAAAACCTGGGGTTCATTCTTCATCATCCGCGGCAGCCATTTGCCCTCGATGAGACCAGCCCGCAGTACGTCCCCATGACTTGCCAGGAAATTTACCAGTCACTTTGGCCTTACGGGTTCAACCTCGCTGGACTCCGATGACTTGGCTCTTGTTCAAGGCTCAATTGAACACCTCAACTCTTATTTAACATCTCCCGAGCGGTGATAGTTTATATAGTCCTCATCAACATCTTATATTCTTCTATGCAGGTTGGAGGACGGTAAAACATGTGCAACTCACCCGTGACACATCATAATAATATGGATTTCAGACCAAACGGTCTTATTTGCTTTGGTTGACCGACTTTATAACATAATTTATTTTGATATTAATGCATTGGTTTGTTTGGCTACTCTTTTTCTCACCATATAATATTAGTTGTTATATTTTTTTCAGTGCTGATGATAGGATTTGCAAACTACTTGGCCAAGAGGAGTACAAAAGTTAAACGATAAAGCCTCTTTACTAGGAAAAGCTCCTAGCTCAAAGCCGAGAGGTAAAGCCCTCTCACTAGGAAGTTCTCGAGGAACTCTTAGTGTAAAGCCGAACGGTAAAACTCGTTTCTTAGCAAGAACTCCTAGGTCAAAGTCACAAAGCCAATAGGTAAAACCCTCTCACTAGGACGTTCTCCTGGAACTCCGGGTACAAGTCGAACGATAAAGCTTCTTCCTTAGGGAGAACTCTAGGCCAAAGTCACAAAGTCGAGAGGTGAAACCCTCTCACTAGGGCGTTCTCCAAGAACTTTTACGGTAAAAGTCAAAAAGTCGAGAGAGATAAAGCTCTTTCACTATAAACTTCTCCAGAACCTCCTAGTTGAAAACCGAATGGTAAAGCTCGTTTGCTGTGAAAAACTCAAACGTCAAAGCCGAATGGTAAAACTCGTTCGAATATGAACACAAATTATATTCGATGATATATTAATCATTGTAAAAAAACATTGCTATACCTTTTCTCTTCTATGTTATTGAAATTTTAAGGTAAATATTATAAGATTAATATTAAGTTTGGATAATTAAAAAGTTATAACAATAGTGCACATGATATTTTATGTAGTTGTGGAGCTAAGATTGTGAAGACAAAGGTGGACGTACAAACCCAATCTGTATGTTATTAATCTTAAATATAATAAAAATAGTTGTTTGTTTAAATTTTTAATTTGATGAGGTTCTTTATTATAGTTAAACTTTTTTATTAGGATAGCAATTTTTATATTGAAAAATAGGTCTTTTAAAATTAAAATTTAGTTATTCCTAATTATATAATTATTGCAAGACATCAACAATTTATCCAATAAATTAATGGGCCTCATTCATTAATATATTTATCAATTGAAGAGCAGTACTCTTTCATTTTAACAAAAAATTAACATTAAATTAAGTAAATATAAAAACTAAATTGAAACTTTGTCAGGTTAACATCGTCACATAACAACATTGATTTAATACATGAATTTTTAAAAAATAAAATAAAAAAGAAATTAAAAAAGTTACAAATTGACATGAAACATTATTTTAAAATGTGATTGTACATTACTAATTAAATGATCTTATTGCATAATTTTTTACAAATAAGAACAAAATTAAGATTAAAATAAACTAGAAAATCAATTTGACATTTTTGGACCAAAACAGAAACTAAATAAATTTTTTTGTGTCTTTCCTCTTGACAAATCCATAAATCATTATATATGATAATAAAGATCATGTTGTAATTTCACAAATAAATATTTATAAAAGATAATAAGTTGTCTATATAACAATTTTACATTAAAGGAATGTATAACAAAAGAAAACTAAAATTTGATCATTACACTCACGAAAATAACTTGTAAACTCCAACAAGGAAGGAAACATCTCTTTATACTTGGAAGGACAAATGAGTAGGTCTCATTATGGATCACAAGTTGTGGATAAATTTGTTCCTTGGGATGTTCATTCCCACAAGTTCTTGATGACACATATGATGAAGGTTATATACTACTTATTTACCCAAAATTACTTAACTTAACACAAAAATAGAATACTTACCCATCACATGGTAACAATATGAACATCTTTCAAGATTGTTGTTCTGCTACATAGTTCAACATGTTGACATTATTTCTGAGAGAATAGAGTTATCATCCAAAGATTGATAGTCTTCACCTCTAACAAAGTCTCCATGTCCTTCTTGTGCATTAGAATCTTTTTCCAACTTTCGAATACCTTCTAATTCCAATGTGATTTCCCTCATAGTTGGTCGCCTCTTTCCGTTCAACTCTAAACATTGACTTGCAAGATTGACAACTTTCATAATATGGCATTTCTCCGCTTCCTTCATCACTCTTTCATCAATAATATCAAAAACACAATTTTCCTCCACACACATGATGAAATATGAAGCTAAACTTTTGGCTTCCTCTTGACTTAGAAGGGTTATTGGCTTTTGTCCTGTTAAAAGTTCAACAAGAACTACTCCAAAACTATAAACATCACTTTTTTCTGTGAATTGACTAGTTTGAAAAAATTCAGGGTCAAAGTATCCAAATGTTCCTTGAACTACTGTAGTAAGGTGAGTAACATCAATGGAAATCATTCTTGATGTACCAAAGTCTGCTACTTTTGCCCTATACTTTTCATCCAACAATATATTTGTTGACTTGATGTCTTTATGATAAACAGGTTGAGAAGCGGCAGAGTGCAAGTAAAATAAAGCTCCTGCAACTTCAATGGCAATTCTCAAACGCATGTCCCATGTCAATGGCATATCCTCATTTTGTTGATGTAAGTACTCGAAAAGATTACCATTAGGAATGAATTCATAGACAAGCAAAGGAATTTTAGTCTCAAAACAACTTCCTAACAACTTAACCACGTTCCTATGGTTAATTTGTGAAAGAATGACGAATTCATTGATAAATTCTTCAATTTTTCCTTGGACCTTAAATTTTTTCACTGCAATAATTGTTCCATCTATCAACATGCCTTTGTAAACAGTAGCTTGACCTCCTTTTCCAAGTACTCTATTTGTATTAAAGTTATCAGTGGCCTTTTCCAATTCTTGTAAACTGAATAATTTAACTTTATCCACATTAACTTCACCAGAAGACAATTTTTGTTGTAATAATAACCCTCCATTTCTTTTGAAGAAATTTTCTCTGTATTTCTTCACTATGGTTTTTTTTGTAACCTTGAACACCCGCCATAAAATAAGAAGTAAAATGATAGATCCAAAGCTTATAGAAACTCCTACATATTTGACCATATCATAACTTTAAAATAAGTCTTTAATCATT